ACTGACACACACTGATACACACATACGTCCAGACATAGATGTGAGTTGGTCTCGATATTAAAACTACTGACAGCTAGTGTGAATAACGTTGATTATTTTATTACAGTGGCCCCTGACAAGGGGGAGGGATATACTTTGCGGTGAGTGAACACTCAGTTTTTTTTAATCTGATGTGTTGAAAGCAGGGGAAATGGACTAGTGTAGGAATCTGAGTGACTTTAACTGTGGGCAAATGGACATAGTTTGACGAGTAGCTGAGAACAACCCCAAAAACAGAACGTGGTACTGTAGATAAAACGCAGTGGTTAGTGCAGTGCCTGCAAAGAACTGGAGAGCCAGTAATCCATTGTTGTATTCATGTGTACCCAAAACTTTAGAGAGCAAACACTCAACTATCTTTTAACAGTATTGCTCTTGTGATGCTGATTCTTTGAAAAATAATACAAGCAGGGATAGAAAAAATGATCTGAACACACAGGGAATCAGTCTGACCTGTTATGTACTTTTGGCCCATATCGTCAATAATTTCACATAAACATTAGGTTTTCTGACCCTTTGTTTATCTGACAACAATATGTGTTGGTGAAAAATATACATACTGGTGAAATTAATGGTATAGTATTTTTGTGAATATTTCACCTAAAAGATTATGTAATCAACTCAATGTCAAGATCAGAAAGATTTCATGTAAACATGTCAGACTGAAGTGCAATCCGATTCGGTCCGATCGGAAAGAATCTCATTTTGAAAGAGAGAGGACATTTTTGCAGATCGGTATCCTGATTGGCTTCCATGTAGCTTTTTCCTTTACTACGAATCATCATCCCCTAGCTTTTGGTCCTTGTGGCTCTAAATGTATAATGAAGGAGTGTTAGTTATCACTGAGACACTCACCGAACTAAAATCACCACCAAAACCAAAGGTATGGATAGAACAATATGACAAAGGACGATCAGGGTCAAAACTAAATCAACAGACACAACTTAAGAACTCAATAAAAATGTGCGGGGCAGGCAGCAAGAGTAGCTAAAGTTGAGGATGAATGGACAAATATAGGTTGTTTACATAGCAGGCAGAATCTTCTACTACTAAAGCGTTTCTGGAAAATTAGAATAGTTTTGCTTAAATTATTTCATCTGATTGAACGCTTGGTACATGTATACACACGTCATGATCAGATCATTTAAACGGATTTTGAATTTCCGATCAACCGATATTTAGATCAGATCCGAAATTTTTTCATGCGTAGCTACTGATGCAAGTTGCATGGAAGCAGACATGGGCAATGTGGAGTCAACAAGTCATCTCCATGTCATGTATTTGTTCTACCCAGCCCCTGAAGCAGGTGAGTCCAATCTTCACCGTGAATTAACCTGTGCAGATTGGACTCACCTGGTTAATTGGCTGGGTAGATTAAATACATGACATGGAGATGACTTGTTGACTCCACATTGCCCATGTCTGCATGGAAGCAAATTAAAATCCTCAGTTCTTATTTAGATTTATTTGTAAATGGAATGCTTGTATCCACTCAGTTAACATCTATATTTATAATATGACCATGATAACTTAGCTAAATAATACAAGTGATTTTGAAAAAAAATAAAAATAAAAAATGAGGCCTTTGTGCTGCTGATTTGTGGTGGGTGGTTCTGCTGCCAGGAGCTTGTACCCCGCCTGTCAGCCAGGGCTGCTGGGTTGTGGGCTTAAGCTGTGCTGGGATTGGGTAGCAGCAGGTTTGGTATCCTGCTTCTCTCCCCCGGTCTCTCCGACCTTGTACCCACTGCTGCGGTGCTCACAGCTGATATAACTCTGGGTTAGGTAAATAGCTACTTCAAGGCACCACATGGCGTCTGCCTGCCTAAGGTTGCTGTGCTCTCTGGGAGCAGAGGCGAGGTGCTCCTCCCTGTCCTGTGGCTGTGAGCGCTGCACGGTTACTACTCTTCTCATCTGTGTAACATAGTCACAATTCCAGGGGTCAAACCAGCCAACTTGCTCAAAACACACTTTCAGAGGTTTGTTTTTCTGTCTGTGCAACCTATTTACTTTGATTCCAGATGCAACTAGATGATTAAATAAAGTCAATCAAGCAATTAGGATACCATTGCCAGATGTCCTTTTTGCACAGCAAAGCTGCGCTGGCACAGCTTCCTCATGTGATATCCCTGACGGGGGCGGTAAGAGTTCTGTTCACCTGTCTCCTGCATGTTTGTAACAAGAAAAGTTATAAAATAAAGAAAATGATGCTTTCTGCATCTTCATTGTGTTCTACGTTATATTGTAGGGGGAGAGGAAATAGTAACTAAACAGATGGAGTAAGATCAAAGTATTCATGTTCAGAAGATTTTAGGTAAGAAATATGTGTTTGACTGTTTGTTTTGCTGCACTTTTTTAGCATTTTAGCTCTTTAATCTTCTATATATTTTCTCCAACATTAATACCAGCCCTTTCCCTGGCTCTTACACTCATTTTTTCCCCCTCTTAAAACAGAAGATGTGTGCTACACTTATGTCAAGCCCTCTCATGTTAAAAAGGGTTTTCTGAAAATGTCCTTGGAAAATAGCTCTTCCAGCTAGGTTTTATTAGCCAGCTGAAGGGCAGATTTGGCTGCTCCTAAGAAAGGTAGCTACATTGCAGATCCTCCAACACAGCATATGGCATGATTTACATATTCCATGCAGTGTCTTTTTTTTTTTTTATTGTGGTCCCTTTTTCAGAATACACACAAATCATGGAAACTTTATAGTGGGAGCTGCCATCGCTCTGCTCCTCAGTATCTCTGCATTCTCATTCAGATGCGCAGAGCAGAGACAGTATAGCAAGAAAAAAAGTGACAGGACGTGGGATTGCCTTCCTCCCCCTTCCTTACATACAGAACATAAAGCTTCTCAGCACCTGATCAAAGCCATTGCATTTTTTTTCCCTCATTATTCTGCTATATTATATCTACAAAGTTTTACAGCTCCAAACCTGTATCTGACACAATAGAGTTAAATATTCAACTTAAACTGTGTATAGATCATCATGTAATAAAAAAAATAAAAAATTACAAAACAATGCTATTTTAGACCATGTCAGCCTAAACCATATGGATGACAGGTGAACAAATCTTCACCTTTTTGAATAAATATTCCTTTATTCATCAATCTTTTCATGTTAAAAATGATGCAAACCAAATAAAAAGGCCAGTTATTCACAGCTCCAAACCTGTATAAATATTCAACTTAAACTGTGTATCATGTAAATAAAAAAAAAAAAAAAAACATTTAATTCGACAGAGCCTACAGTTATATCAGGGTTTTTACTATATGGGCTATTATAGGAAAGGTTTATGGTGTTTAGCTCTACAAAACAAAACTTATTTAGACGATGTCAGCCTAAATCATATTGATGACTTCACCTTTTTTGAATAAATATCCCTTTAATAGTTTAAATCTTCTAATGTAAGAAATAATGCAAGCCAAATAAAAAGGCCAGTTATACAAAAACATTTTAAACATGCTAAGAAAACTGAGTCAATATATAATATCTTTATAACCCTTTGTGCTTCTTAACAAATGAGTTTTTGAATATTCTTTATAGATGTGTAGCATTTTTCTTCTCAAATGTAAAAAAATGTGGTGCCATCTTGATTTATATTGTATTAAATGTGATTATTTTCATACATATATTCATAAGTGTGTTTTTGTAGAATACTAACGTGCAGGCTCAGACGAGGAACGATTTCGGCCCTGGCATTTTTCCATCTACACCGTCCCACTTATGGACCCCCAACTGGCAGGGTTGCCAAATGTCACTGACTCACGTTTTCCAACCCAAAAAATGTTCATAAACCGCCTGGATATATGAAATCTCGCCCAATTTGAGCCAAAGTCTATTAATCTCTTAGGCCATAAATTTAAAGAAAAAAACCACCATCCTAAACTGCCAGATTGGGAAACATCCCAACCTTGTAACAATGCAGGTAAAGATGGGAAACGTTAGCCTTTAGATGCAAAACCCCATCATGCACCGGAACATATTTTTGCTAAATATTCTAACACAAATATCGTAGTTTGGTTTAAAGAAAGTATTTTAGTTTTATTATAAATTTGTTTGTTGCAAGGAATTTACAGTTTGAAGCAACAGGATTTTACAGTTTGAAGAAATAGAAAATTTACACCATATGCCAACCTTCACAAGGATGTGCATGACAAGGAAGTACTATATATACTGCATGCATCATTTAAGTAGTTAACATTGTATTACTTCTTGAGCTCCTTGAGTTACTTATTGTCACAGGTAGGTGCTTTGGCTGGAGAGTAAGCGTTGGGGCCAATATGATTTAAGGAGGGCCGGCCCTCGTACGCTGAAATTAGGACCCGCCCACCGGGCAGTCCGAGCCTGCTAACATGTGGTGATGCAGCCATGAACAGTTTTTTTTTTTTTTTTCTTACCATTTTAATTGCTCATCTAAACTGTCTTCAGCAGTGGAATCGTTCTACATCACAGAGCTTTATTTAAAAGCAGTATTCAGCTACATAAATTTTGATTTATTGTGAATTTTTTCTTAATGTATACTGAAATAATTATAAATGCGCATAGGTGTTCTGATTCAATAACAATTTTTATGTAGTTTCAACATGTCCTATTTTGATTTCGTTTTTTATGGTAAATTATAAAAAACAGGTAAGCATCTGTTGCCACATGCTTGAATTCAGCATTGTTTATATATCCAGCCTCTAAATAAAATAAGCTGTATGCTTAAACCAAAGCTGAATTAGTGATTTTATTTTGGTCACCATTTTCTTAGTGCGTTGGTTCCTCTCTGGTACATTTCAGTTTATGAGGAGGAGATAAATGCTAATGGATCTGAGGATTTCTGGAAGTATTTTCCACCTGAGCACTGTTAAACCAAGTCTGCACCGCTGATAAAACCTTTCCTTTCTTATCTTCTTTTGTCTTCAAGCTCTTAAGCTAGTTTCCCACCGTTATTGCACTTTAACCCAGATCTGTGTCAGATACAAAATCAAGCTGGATTCAGACATGCTTCAGTATGGAGGGCACGGACGGCTCGACCACAACACTGATTTCTTCACTGAGCCCCAACCCTTGAATGGACGCTCCAACTCCATGCTGGTAAATATTTCCAACACCACACTTTGGCACATCTGAGGTCACCCTTTTTGTTGAATGTCACAGAGTCCTAGCTTTGCAGCACACTACAATTACAAATTCAGGGCTGCTGTTGTTGAGTCTAGGCCACTTTTCTCATAACCAATTCTGTATCAACATTGTATTCTGCATACTAATTCAAGCATGATTTGGAGGGTGTTGTATATTCACACCGAAGAAGAGGCAAAATTAAGCATGCTCAAAAATGTCAGCATGCATACTAAATGAGGATGGAGTGTGCTGTTGACAGACACTATTGTCCGACAAAGCAATAAACACATGTGGGCTTCTTTTAAGGAGTTGGTCACCGCTGAAACACATCAAAATGAGTTGTGGGCGGTAATGAGACAGCTCCAAAATTGGCTAGAAAAACATTTAATATTATTTTACAAAGGACAGGCATCTTTTGCTTTCAAATTCAAGGTCTTTGTGTGTATAAGTCTGTCGTTTTCCTTTTTTTCTTATTCTCAGCTTTACAATTTTTTTATCATGTCTACAATACTTTGTGAAAATATTCATAAACCTTAATATATATATATATATATATATATATATATATATATATATATATATATATATATATATATATATATATATATATATATATATATTATATATAGTAATTACATTAATTAAAAAATCATTTCTCTTTATCTTTGATGGCTTATTAGTAAATGGCTCTTTGTGCAAGAATATTTAACTAATGATTTATTAAAGGTACCCATTGTTACTTTTTAACCTTTACATATTTAATCTAGAAAATGTACATAAAATCTTCCTCTTTTTATTTGAATAAAACAATGCTCCAGGTAAAAGCAATTCCAATTTCAGATTAGGTTCAAGTTCGCAGGGTTGGCTTAATTCAGATGGATTACTGCTTTATGAACAGTGATATGTGATTTAGATAAGTTTTAAAACCTAAAAACGTCTTAAGACCACTGTGTGTTTCTCCGTACTGTAGAAACATGTGCTGCTTTGAGTTGGTATTTCATATGAAAACCCTACACAATGCAAAGAACCTATAAAGAGATGGTCCCATAGAAAAGTCCCAGTTAATAGTATTAATCATGCTGAGATCATGAGCGTCACGAATGCAGATCGCCACCATCACCTTTACTGTATATTTCCAGAGGTTTTAAAAACAAAACCCTTAAAGCAACATTGGGATGAAAAGGCAGACTGTTTTTATTTTTTAACTCAGTATGTTGAGCATCTTAACACGTTTGCTTATCTTCTATCCAACAGTTTCTGACAGATCTATCTACCCATTCATTAGTCATCAGATGAATATCACATTGACACCAGAATATATAACTTTTTTTCTGAAGACTGTCACAATATTAATACTACTTCACACAGTGACACTTGGTGAAGCGTTTTATATATAGAAATATATACTACCCTGACATCTTACACGTTCAACTTTTAATGTGATTGTTGTATCTTGAAGATAGATGGTTTTAAACTTTTCAGAAGAAATTCACAGCAGCAATAATGAGCAGTGCTGTCATTGATATTCATTGTTGTTTCTTTTTCTTCTTTTGCTCAGCAAATCAGAATACCTTTTAATGATGTGGTTTATTTTTACGCCGTTGAAGGCAGAATTTTGAATTTTGACTGCAGGAAATCTGCCTACATTATCCAGCTTTCTTGACAGTGTTTCTTTCTGTTGGAGAGAATTGCCTTTCCTTTAGTTGCTCAAACATGTTTGCATTCACCCCACCCACACCGGGTGGATATGCGTCTCTTAACTATTTTACTCGTTCAGTTTTACCATTGCAAAGTAATTTTGTAAGTGCTGGCAGCAGAAACAAAGTCTGATAAAATAGCTGTCCACGTGTTGATGTTTTCTACTTGTTTTATGTTGAATGTTTGATTTCTCAAATCTGTTTAATTGGTCTGAAATGGGGTTTGTAGTGAGGGAATGTTTTAAAGCCGTTCTAATGAGGTTTAAGTGTGCTGGCATGAAAAGGGGCTGCTTTCTTGGCAAAGTGCCACTATCTGCCTAGCCTGGGACTTTCCTCTTAACAACAGCCCCATAATTTACTGGCTTCCTCTAAAGCTTCTAATTCAACATAAAGAAATGATCAAATATGGCTACATGCATCAAGGCTAGATCCTACTATCAGGGGGATGGAAAGTATTGTATGGAATATCCAATGCCTTAAGTTTTGTTTGTGAATATTATATTTGCCTTCTCTGCATTTTCTTCTGCACAAGCTTGGCAGTTATCTTGAAGTTATTCGGTGTCGTGGGAATCCGATACACGACTACCTCCTTCCCCCCTAAGCAAACAATATGCATTATTCATGGCATCAGAACTTACCTTTTCATGTTCATGCCTTTAAACCTGTACAGAACCGTGTAGAGATGTAAGCTACCTGGAACAATGAGCTGCTGGCCCTCCATCATGAAAACCTCTTCAGGCTCATATGATCAAATGATTTTCGTCTTATTTTGTGATGCTTAAGAAACTCTGGCATGTTATCTCCCATGACAACCAAATATACAATTTTTGGGTCCTTTTATGTTTAATCCAATTTACATAAAAGAAAGGTAAGGTGATTTCAATCTGGAAAACTCACATGAAGGGAAAAGACAATTAGGAGAAATTCATTGATAGAATTATTTTGTCTTTGGCGCTCAGACCTCGGCAGGAAACATAGCGCTTAATTTTAATAGATATGCATGAACAGGAGCAAAGAATAGGGCTGTTTACCCCCAGTTCTGAAACTGGTGGTGGAGTGGAGATAGATGAAGTTGGTCGGTCTATAGACTGCTGGTTAGCGAGACGGTATGCTGAGCTTTATGGGGAGACCCAGTGGACTGCATGAGCTGATGCTAGAGCTTCACTCAGGGACCTGGAAGATGGAAGTCCAGTTGGATAACACAGGTTCAGAGAACCTGTCCATGATGGGCAAGCATGGAGCGACAGTGGAGAGGAAAAACTCCCAGTTGGGAAGAAACCTCTGGCAGAACCAGGCTCAATATGGTGGTTTTCTGCCGGACTGGTTGAGTAGAGACAAGGAACATAGTAAGAGTCCGGGAGGAACAACACTCTGATGAAGCTTTAGCTACGAAGATGTAGGAGGGGTTGGCAACTTAAACCCAATGAGATAGACTTTCTTGTTTGTGCTTTTTCTTTTTGACCACAAAATAGTTCTACTAAAGCATGACATTTCATTTATATCTAAAAAAAACAAGGAAACAAACCGGTTTAACGCTTGTTACATAAACCGCTAAAGGTTTTTACTTGCAGCAAATCAAAATTGTATCATTTTGTTGTTGCAGTCCTATCTTCATTCCATATGGAGAGGAGGGCATAACTACACGTTTCCCACTCTATCACTCATAATCATCATTGTCGTTGAACATGTTTTTTTTTTTCTTTTTTTTAAATATAGCTCAAAAAGAATTGCTAGTTCACTTAAAGGGTTTTCTGTTCCCCTCAGCTAAAAATGGGTAAAATACACTCTTGAAATGTTTTATTGATATATATCAGAGACCTGCCCTGCTTGCTTTATACACCCTGTGTGCTTCTAAACAGGGCAAACCCGGATGGCTTTTCTTGTGATTCTGAGATTTTTCTTTGTATTTTACCCAAACCAGATGTGTTATTGCCACCCTGACTTTTCCTGTCTGACTCGCGATATTTATGCCAAATTGCTGCATATGTTTGATCAAAATAGACCAAGGGTATATCTCAGTCAGAGCTACACAAGCACAGTTCCAGGGAATCGTGTACTTTTTAATTTCATGTAACGGCCCAACCTCTTATAATCTGGTGATTAATGGAAATTCCTCATTAAAGTGGAAATGAAACAGTCAACCAAACTAACTTAATTTATGATATTGTGCCTTACTATTATCAGTAATTCTATTACAAACATGAAAAATATAACCCTATAAAGGAAAAGAAACATAGTTATTTTTAATAAAGCGATGTTAAATACATACCAATGTATTCAACTCCGAGCTATACAGCCAACGAACGCTGTTACATCACTGCTCGGAGTGATGCAACATGGTAGCGCAGTTGTCAGGAAAATGATTAAGAGTTCTACTTTTCTTCTTTATTCGTTTATTTTTTTCACCTTTGTAATACAATTTTTGATAATGGTAAAACACAATCTGGTAAATTAACTTAGTTTGGTTGCCTGTTTAATTTTCACTTAAAGCTGAATACAAGTTGTTGGATAGAATTAAAGTTAACTTCATTAGTCATTAGATTTCTATGTTACTTTTCACTCTTGTTATGCTGAATAGATGCAATGGAATAATTTATTGTAGCAAAGGTTACTAGATTAAAAAAGAAACTGAATCCATCCTTGCATTTGGACGTCAAAATAATTAATCCATTAATTCCCAATTCTTTTTGTTAGTAGGTCCAAATGGTTTAAAGTAATGCTTAGGGTATAATGTATGAAGATGCATTTGCAAACAGAAATTAAGAAATGTGTATATTGCATCCAAATATTCCAAATATATGCTGTTGTTTTATGCCGGAACACGTAGAGAATGTTTATCTGTATGTTATACTCTTGAACACAACGTTGTGTAAGCGATAGGAGGAAAAGACAGACGACTACAAGCTGTCATTAAACTCTGTTATTTAAGAACTTTAAGGTTTGTAGTGCAGTTACAGTGAAAAAAAAGGTGGAATGATCAAGAATATATTTCAACATGTATATTCTTCAAAAACTAGCCTGACGTTGTCCTACTCAATTCTAGTCAGAATATGAGTCTGATACTGCTCCATAGAGCTGTGATTATGGGGCGTGTTTCGAACGGACCAGGAAAAAAAATGCCTCTGCACTCAATTGGATAGACCTACAACCAATAAGGGCCACGGAGTGCGTGACGTATGTTAATCGATGCATTGTTGTTGTCAACAAAAATCAAAGCGTGCAGTTGCGCGCCTAGAATAAGAAGATGAGCCTTGATCGCATTTCTCTGTTCCTCTT